ATAAAAAAAATCATTGAAATTGTAAGTCATATGTTATAACTCACGGAATATTTGTAGATATGTATGTGTTAAAAATGGTGCACAAATTAAATGAGAGACAAAATTGTGACAACTAATCTTACCATTTTTTAAATTATATATTTACTTCATACTATTTTTAATAAAAATTATATATTAACTTTTTATAAAATATTACATCAAAATTTCTCTTTAAAAAAAAAAATTCAAATCAACATTTTATTTTATATCATATTCAAATCAAAACCACACAAACAATAAATTTGCAAAAAATACTTCATCCGTCCCATAACAAAGTATTCATTTTTCTATTTTACTATGTCCCATAACAAAGTATCTATTTCCTTTTTCTAGTAACTGCATAATCTACCTAACATTACAAATACCCTTATAACTTACAATATATTACACAAATGTCATTATTTTTATATCACACAATACTAATAAGATTATTTTAGTCATTTTTACTTTATTCTTACTACATCCCAATATAATACTAATAAATCTAAAACTCTATGCAAAAAAACAAACACATACATAATTATGGGACAGAGGGAGTAGTTGAAATGAAAAATAAACATATAAAAATTAGAGAGTTAGAAATGAACTTACACTCTAACTTCGATTCGAACAGACCGTTAAAATATAGTACTCTTTCCGTCCCAATACAATAGTCTTGTTTACCATTTTTGTCCGTTTCAAAACAATAGTCTTATTTCCATAATAACCATATCACTATAAAACTACTCATACTTTTTCATTTTTATTACACAACTGTCACTACTTTTTACACTAAGACACTCACAAGAACAAAAAAATCTTTTATATATATTTTTTACCCACTATCAATATAATATTAATATTCCTTAAATCTCGTATCCAATCCTTAAATCTCGTATCCAATCCAATTAAAACTATATTTATGGGACCGAAAAGAGTATTAGGAATGTTTGTGTCTCTTTCGGATTTATATAATCTAATACAGAATTATTCCATTTGTAGTAAATAAAAAAAAATGATTTAAAAACAGACAGTTTCTTTATTTGTACAAATAGATCATCCTGTCACTATTGGCTACTTTAAATTAAATTAAATCAAAAGTATATTTCAACCAAAGATAATAACAGGATAATTAAATAATTTCTTTGTAATATGACCAAAAATTTCTTCAAATTAAGAAATGATTGTTCATTGATTTATGTCATCTAATGATTTTGTTAAGATTTGATTCCAATAATATATTTTACTTTCCTTAATTTATTACACTACTTGCAAGTCTTAATTATTTAATTTCATTTTCACTACAAACTAATTAGGGTTTTTGTGATTAATATTCATTTTTTTAATTTTTTTTAAAATTCCTAGCTAGCTAAATATAGTATAGCTAAGTAGGTTGCAAATTTGTCAATATATCGATATCGAATCCAACTATCCAAATTTTTGTATGATCTTAGTGGATTAATAATTGATCTAGATTTGTTTATTAAGTGACACAAAATAATTTATTTGAAGTATATTTACTTCGATGAATTATTTGTTCACCCAACAAATAATTTTTCGACACTTTTTCTAATTAATATTATTAAAAAAATACATTATATATATAATTACACTGAATATATATATATACTTCTTTCGTCCCATAACTTTTGAACATGTTGTCATTTCAGTCGATCTCATAAATATAGTCATATTTTATTTTGAAAATGATTATATACTTTAATTACATTTTAAATTTTTTAATTTATGATTTTTTTTTATTTTTAATAAGACTAATTACTTGTACTCATCTTAATATATAATTACTTATATACTGCACTGTAATTGGTTTAGTCTTATTTACTATTTTTGTCCGTCCCAAAACAATAGTCTCATTTCCATGAATAATTATATCACTATAAAACTACCCTTACTTTTTTATTATTATTACACAATTGCCACTACTTTTTACACTAATACACTCATAAAAAAGTTTTTTACCCATACTTTTTACCCACTACTAATATAATATCAATATTCTTTAAATTAAACAATTCAGACTATAATTTTAAGACGGAGGGAGTATTTCTTATTTGCTCCATCCATCCCATCTAATTATACTTACTTTACTTGAACACGGACGCTATAAAATAATATTTTTTAATATAAAAATGAAGTGGGTAAAAATAAGTTGGGATATTATAAAAATAAATAAATAATAATAATAATAATAAATTATTAAAGAATTGATAAAACAAAATAATGTGATAAGTAATAGTGGTAAAAAATAATATTTAAATCAAATCAAAACCATAATCCCAATATAATAATTGTTCTTCATTTGGGTCTTTTAAGCATAGTGAAGTTTGGGCCAATTTACATTTGTAGTTTTGTATTGGTCCAATAAAAGCCCAATTGTATTATACATGAATCCATAATTATGTATAACTAGCAAATAAATGTACTATTCTTTTTGTCCACATAGTTCATATTTTTTCTATTTTCATATATTCAATATAATTTGTCAATTTTATTTAAAAATAATTATAAATTGTCATTACATTTAAAATTTTTTAATTTATATATTTTTTAATTTTAATTAAATTATTTAATTATTTTAATCTTAATTTTTTATTATTTATATTATACAATAATTACTTTTTATTAATGCATTTATACTTACTAATTATATTTTTTAAAATTTTCATATTTACAATAATATGGACATTTTTTATAGGAGGCAGAAAGTATATTTTATTTATTCATTTATTTTGAGTATTTGTTATTTTATTATTTTTAAGTGATACTATAATTCGCAGCCGTTGGCCTTCAATTGCACATTAGACAATTTTTTTGTTTGTTTTTTTTTTTAATATTATTATTATTATTATTATTATTTTATAGCGCATAAATCTATGGCGGCTATTTTTTTCGAGTGCGTTTGAATAAATTCCTAACTAAATCTAATAGTTTGCAAACTAAATTCGACAAAATAAATTACATTAGGAGACTGATTATTTGTTATCTCTATTTATTTATTCATTCCGCAACTTTGACAAATTTGCACTTTTTTTTTAAATACTTCCTACGTCTAACTAGAAAGTATACATATTTTTATTTTGAGACGTCCAATTAGAAAGTAACTATTTCATTAAGTACCTTATTTTTTCCACAAATACTCCTACTTTATATCACATTATTACTTTTATACCAAAAAAATAAGGTTGAATTGCACAAAATCCACCCGTTGTTTCATGAAATTGCACCAAATTCCTCATACTTCTAAAATTGCGTCAAACTCCCTCGTGGTTTCATAAACTTTGCGTCTAACCCCCTCAACGGTCCTTATTTAACGGTATTTGACCTAACTGCGCTTAAACTGCGAATAAATTTTAGAATTTCAATTTTTAAACCCCTAAAATTACAAATATATTTATTTTTTATATATTTAGCCTAAAAAATAGTAAAAATAAATTTTTAAAACCTGAGAAAAATAATTATTTTTGAGTATATTTACTATTTTTTAGGGTAAATATAAAAAATATATATATTTGTAATTTTAGGGGTTTATAAATTGATATTCTAAAATTTATTCGCAGTTTGAGCGCATTTAGGTCAAATAGCGTTAAATAAGGACCACTGAGGGGGTTAGATGCAAAGTTTATGAAACCACGAGGGAGTTTGACGTTGTTTTAGAAGTATGGAAGATTTGGTGCAATTTTATGAAACTACGGGTGAATTTTGTGCAATTTAGCCAAAAAATAAGAGCAAAAATTTCATTATACTACTTTTACCTACCTACTATAATTAAAATATTATTATTTTTTAAATTTCGTGCCAAAAGCATACATATACTTTTTGCTTTTGAAGGAGGGATTATATTTTATTACTCTATGTTCAAGAAAATTTTTTGGATAAATAAAATTTTGCTACGTGTCTAGTCAGCATGGTTTCCGAGCCGTTGCGTAATTTGAATACCTTAAATCTATAACATTAATGTTTGTTTAATTACGGTTTTAATATTAAATTAATAGAATGTTTGGACACGAAAACAGCCAAAATTGTTGGGGTGGATAACCTAGTATTTTAGTCAACGAATTTAATTTCTTCCCTCGTTGACTTCTTACCACCCCTTTGAGTGTAATTGATTCCCACACTTTCATGCTAAGCAAATATAATCTGTAACTTAATAATAATAATACAACATAATCCAGATTCTATGCTACAATTAATTTAGGAGAAAAATAATAAAGGGTGTGTTTATATGCGGTTTGAATTTTAGGTTGAAATTTGAATTGAAATAATTATATGATATGACATAAATAATTTGAAAAAAAAATTGTATAAATAATAGAATTTGATCAAATTCCTTCAAACAAAGTGGTGTGCTAGTCGGGGGATTTGGATTTTGGTTTGATATTTAAATAGTAATTTTTTATTTTTTTTAAAGTTGAATAGTTATATGGGGTGATATAAATATGTATTGATTTGATATTTTGAATATAAATTTTTTAAAAAAAAATAAATATTTGATTTTATGTCTTTGAAAAGAAAAAAAAATTAAATAAAAATTTTAAATTAAATAGTTACTATTTAATTAATTTAATTTTGATCTATAATTATTTTTACTAATTCATTTCTTATTGACTTGCTAATTATTATAATATGAATATATTATTCAGGACGGAAGAAGTATTACTTATATTCAATAATTATTTCACCAAAAATTACCACAATACATATATATATATATATACACCAAAAGAACTAACCCTACATTCAAAAAAATTTCACGTATAAATTAAAATCAAATATACATTTTTAATTTTTTTTAAAAAAAAAGTGTAATATGAATCTATCCTTGCAAAGACATCAAAGCTCATGCACGTGACAAAAACCTTAAAAAGAAGCATCATGGCCGGCCGGTTCACTCAACCCCAAGTCACTTTTTGTAGTAATATAAGAACAGCCGAACTGAGCCGAGCTTTTCAAAATTCAAATCAATTGCAATTTTCATATATAGAAATGGCGCGAATCATTCTATCAGTAGTCGCTCTCGTAATTGCATTGTCGGGCGCCGTCTCGGGACAGCCCGGAAAACCCCATAAGGTCAAGTGTCAGGACAAGACTTCGAGCTGTTATCACCAGGATCTTTATTGCCCTCTCGAATGTCCTAAGGATTGCGTCCCCGATTGCGCTTCCTGTCAGCCCGTTTGCGTTTCTCCTCCGGTGGTCACACCGATCTATCCGCCGCCGCCGCCGCCGCCACCGCCACCGCCGCCGGCGGATGGGTCGGAGGTGGCCGGCGGGAAGAGAGTCCGGTGCAGAAATAGTACGTTTGAGGACTGCCGGTGGAGAGAACATAGGTGCCCAGCGGATTGCCCTAATACTTGTGAGGTTGATTGTGTCAGCTGCAAGCCTGTTTGTGGTATGTTCTTTAAATTTCTATGTTTTTTTTTGGTAAGTTCTTGTCGGGAATAATTATTTGATATGATATAAATATGTATATATATACACACACGCAGACTGCAATAGGCCCGGAGCTGTTTGTCAGGACCCTCGATTCATCGGCGCCGACGGCATAACTTTCTACTTCCACGGCAAGAAGGACCGGGACTTCTGCATCCTCACCGACAACAATCTCCACATCAACGCCCATTTCATCGGCCGCCGGAACCCTAAAATGGGCCGCGACTTCACCTGGGTCCAATCCATCGGAATCCTCTTCGACGCCCACAAAATCTTCGTCGGAGCCAAGAAGACCGCCGCCTGGGACGACGCCGTCGACCGCCTCGCCGTCTCCTACGACGGCGCTCCGGTCATCCTCCCCCACGGCCGCGGCGCCCAATCCGCGCCCGACACGGGCGTGTTGGTAACACGGTCGCGCGACGCCAATTCGGTGGTGATCCGTGTCGAGAACCAGTTCGAGATCAAGGCGACGGCGGTGCCGATCACGGCGGAGGATTCGAGGATTCATAACTATGGCGTCGCCGGCGGCGGCGATTGCTATGCACATCTGGATTTAGGGTTTAAATTCTTCTCGTTGAGTGGGGAGGTGAATGGGGTTTTGGGGCAGACGTACGCCGGAAATTATGTTAGCAGAGCTAAGATGGGGGTGGACATGCCGGTGCTCGGCGGCCGGAGGGAATTTGCGTCGTCGGGGATCTTCTCCGCCGACTGCGCCGTCGCCAGATTTAAGGGCGGGGCCGCCGCCGCTGCCGCCGGTGATTTTCAGTATTCTGATTTGAATTGCGGCGATGGGAGCGACGGCCGTGGGGTTGTCTGCCGGAGATGATTAATTTATAAAGTATAATTTTTATATTTATTTAATGTTTGTGTCGTTACGTTAATTGCAAGCAATAAACGAAGAATATGAATAAGGCAAGATAATATGTATAATTATTATTATTATTATTATTATTATTATTATTATTATTATTATTATATGTATGTGTGTATTTGTTAATGTTCAGTGTAATGTGCGAAATAAATAATTTGTTTGTGTTTAATTTGATTAATGTTCGTCTTTTATCTCTTTATTTATAAAGATTATTTATTATTCACCTTAAAATTCAAGATTTCTTCTTTAAAAACATTATATTAAAAATTTGAGTAAACTGTTTTTTCAGTTCCGAAACTGACCTCTTATCATTTTAGTCCTGTAAATGGAGTCTGTCGCAAACTAGTCCCATAAGTGAAAAATTTTCGCTGTTTTCGTCTTCCGGCGCCGGAGATGCTCGCGTGGCTCGCCGGAGGTGACGTGTCCGCCAGGTGTCGCTGACCTGGCGGACACGTGGATTTTTTTTATTTTTTTTTTCATTTTTATAAATTTTTTTAAAAACTTATTTTAATTTATTTTAAATTTATTTGTATTTTTTTTATTTGGTCCAATTAAAAAAATGAAAAAAAAAATAATAAATCCACGTGTTCGCCAGGTGTCGCTGACCTGGCTGGACACCTGGCGGACACGTCACCTCCGGCAAGCCACGCGGGCGTCTCCGACGCTGGAGGACTAAAACAGCGAAAATTTTTCACTTATGAGACTAATTTGCGACAGGCTCCACTTACAGGACTAAAATGATAAAGGGGTCTAGTTACGGGACTAAAAAAACAATTTACCCTAAAAATTTTAATATTATTTAAAAAAAAATAGTTCTATCTCCTCCTTTAATCATTTATCCATTTTTCTAATTTAGTTAGTTTTATAATAAAGTATCTATTTTCTTTATTTTAGTAATTGTACTATCTACCTAAAATTACAAATATCCTTTCAATTTATAATATATTACATTTATATGATACAAAAGTTAATTTAGTTTTTTTACCTTTATTTCTACTATATTTCAATATAATATTAATATTAAAAAGTAAATTGATATATAGATATGACCCGGAGGGAGTATGAAACTATAAATAATCAATTTATTGAACTGAATTTATTATGTTTGATTCAAGTTGTCGTTTAGCTGGGCTGGGCCGGGCCGGGCCTGCTGAATAAAAAGGTAGTTTTAGTCTGGGCTCTAAATAAGTAAAATTTGAAATTTCGTTATAAAGTTGGGCCAAAAATAAAAAAGAACAGTCCAAATTAATCCATAGCCGAGCCTAGTCCATTTGAATTTTTATATGTCAAAAACAATCGGAATAATAAAATTATGAATGAAAAAAAAAAAAACTATAAAATAGATTATATATAAGTTTAACGGATCGATGGACTATTTGAACTGTGAGCTGAATCTAAAATGTATTTTTAACACTATAAGTATATGCTCGAGCAAATTTTTAATAGTTAGAGTATGAAATAATTTGTACGAAATTCTATTTTTTATTAACCATTACAATGAGAAATTATTCGTTTCAAACAAATTATTAGCACCTACGAAGGTAATTACACATTTTCATAAAATATTTAAATGTATTTCTTTGAATTCTCCATTTATTTTGAACGGAATGGAGAATTCGTGCAAATAATTTTCATATCACAACACTTAAATATATATATAAAAAAAATAAAAAATTGTGCAAAAAAGTATATTAAGAAATTGTCCCTTTTTAAGACTTTTTGGAATTTTATAGTAGATTAGGAAATAATACCCCTCCGTTCCACTTAATTTGTTTATTATTTTTATTTTCGTCCATCCTATATAATTTGTCATTTTTTTAAAAAAAAAAAGATAATTATACACTTTAATCACAATATAAAATTCATCATTTATAATTTTTTTTTATTTTAATTAAACTATTTAGTCATTTTAATCTTAATCTGTAATTATTTTTATTAAAGTATAATTATTTTTACTAATATAATTCTTAATTATTTACTAAATTACACAATACATCAAATTCAGTATCTAAGCTAAATGAGATAAAATAGCTGGAAGGGAGGGAGCAAAATTTTATTGCTTAATGGAAGTATGTAAGAGACTTTGACATTTTTGGTTTTTGATTTTTTATATAAAGTAATTGTACGGGTACGAGTATATTTGTAATTTAAATAAAAGTTGAAGGTATTTTGGTATCATTGCATGATTATTTTATCAAAAAAAAAAAAAGAATACTTTTGTGTGACATGCACGAAAATAGTAAAATAATGTTTTGAATTAGAACGAAGAGAGTATAAGACAAATGTCTGTATTGAAATTCTCCTTAAAAAATGCTCCATTCGTCTAATCAATCTACCTTTTTATTATTTTTGTCCATCTCATTCAAAAGTATTCATCTTTATTTTTGAAAAAATAATTATATCAAAATATTCTTAACTTTTTCAAAATATATTTATTTCATAGGCAAAAATTTTTTAAAACTATCATATGCATTTCTATTAATTAATAAAATATTACTGTTTTTTAATTTATTATAAAAAAATAAATAAATACATTGGATCACGGAGGAAATATATACCTATTATTATTAAATATTTACTCCCTCATTTTCAGAACTATGGTCTGGGTTATATTTGGTACGAGATTTAATGAATATTGATATTATATTATAGTGGATAAAAAGTATAGGTAAAAATTTTTTTTGTTCTTGTGAATGAATGTATTAGTGTAAAAAGTAGTGACAATTGTATAATAATAATGAAAAAGTAAAGGTAGTTTTATAGTAATATGGTTATTTATAAAAATGAAATTATTATTTTGAGACGGATAAAAATAATAAATAAGACTAAAGTATTGAGACGAATAGAGAATTAAATTTTGTATTAAAAAGTAGACGGATTAACTTTTTTACTAATGCAAATGGTTGAGAGAGAGAGAGAGAGTGTGTGTGTGTGTGTGTCAGAAACGTGAAGGACGACGACAGGGAGACAACCAACATGCATGCAAACCAATCCCAATCCCAAGCCATGCATAAATAATTTCCAAAATATATTTATATATATATAAATAAAATATGCATGGCAACCCATTGTTTATATATTTATTCTTTTATAATACTCTAACTCTCTATTAATTATAAGCATATTTTGTCATTTAGGACCTTCAATAAAGGGTAATTTTATTTTTGTATTAATTTTCGTAAGTAAAAAATTTTCCGACAATCTTATGTCGCCGGAAATGTATGCGTACTACCCACATGATACGTCGGAGGATATGTATCCGGCCACGTAAACGTCAGCTAGCGGATATGCAGAAAATTTATATATATATATATATATTTTTTAATGGGTAAACTATTTTTTTAATCATGTATTTGACTTTTTTTATTATTTTAGAACTTTAAATGAAATATGTCTGAAAAAATAATCCCACTAAGTAAAAAAATTTTTGCGAGAAATAGTCCTCCGGTACCGGACTTATCACGTTGACCCGCCGTTGATGGTGTGACGCTTACGCAGATAATATGTCATTGCCATGTAAATGCCACATCAGAGACACGTGAAATTTTTTAATTTTTTTTAATTTTACAAAATGTCTCGGTAAACTTTTTGTTTTAATCTCATATCTGATACTCTTTTTATCATATTTATATTTTTAATGGATTCTGTCTGAAAAATAGTCCCGCAAAAAAAAATTGCTAAAATGATCATCTGACATATCACTGATGTGGCGATAACATGTCAGTTGCGTAAGCGCCACATTAATAGCGGCGGGCCAGCATAGCAAGTCTGACACCAGAGGACTATTTTATAAAAAAAAATTTACTTCCGGGACTATTTCCAGACATATTCTATTTAATGTTTTAAAATAATAAAGAAGATTATATATGAGACTAAGGGCGTGTTTGACAATTAATTGATAATTGTTAGTTGATTCAATTAGCTGATAGTTGTTGGTTTATTTAAAAAAAAAAAAATCATGTGTCCGTCAAGTGATGTTTACATGTAGACACATATCCTCCGGCGTACAACCCGGGTACCACACAGATATCTCCGACGCCGGAGGACCAAATATGCAAAAAAAATTCAATTGTAGAATTATTTCAAAACAAACTCCAGTTACAAACTAAATGATAAATGATCAATTACGGGACTAAAAAACAATTTATCCATAAATAAAAGATAAATTTAGTTATTTGACAAATATAGATATTACAATAATACTAATAAAATATCATTTCATTTTAATTAAAGTACAAAATTACTCGTTTCTTATTTTATCACATCAATATACAAATTATGTGAGGACCTTACAAATTACATCATACGAGTATTTAGGGTTTCTAGCTATAGAAGTTTTTTCTTTTATTGTTACTATTCAATTTATATATTCTCGAGTAAAAAATATCGTATATTCTTTCCGTCCTAATACAATAGTCTTATTTATCATTTTTGTTCGTCCCAAAATAATAATTTTATTTCTATAAATAACCATATCACCATAAAACTATCCATATTTTTTCATTTTTATTATACAATTGCCACTACTTTTTACACTAATACACTTACAAGGACAAAAAAGTCTTTTATCCATATTTTTTACCAACTACCAATATAATATCAATATTCCTTAAATCTCGTGTCCAACCCAATTAAGACTATATTTATGGGACGGAGATGAAGTATAATTTTTTTATATAAAATATAACATCAACTAAAAAATATTTTTTTTACACACTTTCATAGTTTACCGAATAAAATACTATTATTATTATTATCAATGTATCCATTGCCGATAGACAGAACCTGTTTTATTTTTTCGTGTTGATTTTTTAATATTAATTATTATATTAAAACATAGTATAAATTAAAAAAAAAATGACAAAAAAATATTTTTATTGGTGTTTTATAATATTAATATAATAATATTTGTACACAAAATTATACAAATATAATGATATTTTTAATTTTAAATATAATGAAGCAAAAGATAAATATAACTCTTAGAGGCGGACATGTATTATAATTTGTATATACTTACTATTAATGGGATAAGTAAAAAAATAGTGATTAATTAGTTATTATTTGTTGGAGTAAGATTAACACAATCACGAGTGAATAAATTCTTTTATTATAAATAAAATTGTACATAAATTTAGTCGATAATAAAAATATATATAACATCCTATTGTTCGTACTTTTTTGTCTCGTACACTCCATTATTATTATATTAAATTAAATTTTATTAAAAAAAAAATGTAACTTCCTCTTATTACTTACAAATTTTTAATTTATAATTAATTAAATTAACATTCAAGATACACTAGAATCTTTGTGCATTTATTATTATTATTATTATTATTATTATTATTATAAGAAATGTATATTTGCAATATTTAATTCCTTCGGATAATGACCACCTCCATAGGTCGCGGCACCGAGCTCACGTGCCTTGCATGTGCATGCACCCAATATATATATAATTTATTTATTTATATAATTTAAATAGTCCATGTAATATTTAATTTAATAATGTAGTTAAAATGAATATTAAGAAGTTGGTGGTTGATTCTGAAATCAGAATATTTAAATAATTTTGAAAATATTATAATCAGTCATGTGATAGACTGAAAAAATGTCCCACTGAATTAAAAATCCCTTTCCAGCTCTTCACTGTCGCTCTTAATTATATTTAATAAATTAAAATTTTAGCAATCAATTAAATATGTATATATATAAATATATAGTAATAAAATTCTTAAAAAAATATTATATCTTGTAAATACTATAATTAAATTTTTATATGTAACATGCTGGGAAGGAATCACTAGTTAAATTATTCAAACCCTAGCTCTGTGACAAAATATAGTACATCGATATTCAGAAAAATTGCACTTTAAAAAATATTCATCCATAAATAATTAAATAAATCAAATTATTCAAATTAAGATTCCAAAAAAAAAATTAAATTAAATTAAATTTGAAGTACAGTAGTGTTGCCCTCTATGTGGTCTATGGATCACCAACGCCTAGGATCACTCACTGCCAAAAAAATAAATTGAAAAATATCTATATATCATGATTAATTTAATTTAATTAATTATACCCTAATTTTGAAATATGGGTACAGAATACTCCCTCCGTCCCATCGAAAGGTTGTCATTTTCTATTTTCGTCTGTTCCAAAATAAGGTTATCATTTCCTAATTTAGTAATTGTACTACCTAACTAATATAATAAATACTCTTCCAACTTACGTTATACTCCCTCCGTCCCACATAATTTGTCCCTATTTTCTATTTTCGTCCGTCCCACGTAACTTGTCCTTTCTATTTTTGAAAATATAATTATGCACTTTAATCGCATTTTAAATTTTAAATTTTATAATTTTGTTAATTTTAATTAAACTATTTACTCTATCTTAATATTAATCTATAATTATTTTTACTAAATAATAATTATTTTTACTAATACACTTTTTAATTACTTACTAATTATAGTTTACCTAAATTTCCGTGTCTACGGTAATACACCCATATTACATGGGACGGAGGGAGTATTACACAAATGTCATTACTTTTATATTACACAATACTAGTAGGGGCATTTTCGTTTTTTTCACTAAAATCCATTATAATACTAATATTCAAAAATTTACGTGCTAAAAGTAAACGATAATCTTGCACCGGGAACGAAGGAAGTATTAAAATTAAATAAATTAGAGAAATGGAGGGGATTGTCACATGCATGAGTGATAAGAGGAGGCAATTCCAAAATAACCTTTATTTAAAAATGAAATAAATTAAATTAAATTAACGAAAACCAATGATATGATAAAATTGAATTCTGTGCAATTTGTTGATATTTAAGAAACACACCCAACGGATTTCAGAATACGAGGATCCACCGTAGCTGTAATATTTAATAAATATTAAATAATAATAATAATAATAATAAGTATAGATATACATGACTGTATCTATTATTATTGGCTTAAACTTAATTAATTTAATTAATTGTATAAATAAATAAGAGTGGTCACCACATACACAAATATATTTGCTATAATTATATTTATATTTTTATTAAGTAACATTCTCTGTAAATTTTTTGGGAAATTCACATATCTTGCTGAGGTTGGAATTTCCTGTGTCCACAAATTTAATTATAGTTATATATATATATATATATTTAAGGGTCATATTTACTTTTTGCGTATTAATATTTGAATATTAATTATTATATCAAAACGTAGTACAAATTAAAGAAAATGACAAAAAAAATTTTTATTAGTGTCTTGTAATACTAATATAATAAAAATTGTAAAAATAATTATACAAATATAAAAATCCTTTTAATGTTAAATACAGTAACATAAAAAAAAGATAAAGGTAGTACTTCATTTTTCTTAAAAAAATGTATGAGTTGGATAGTAGTATATATGTGATTTGAGTTCCATTTTTTTCTTTCAAATTTTTTATAAATATTATTAAATAAATATAATATTAATTTTTAATATAATATATAATATATAATATATATATGTATTTTTTCTATTTATAAAAATAACTATTCAACACAAAATATTAATTTTATTAATAACATATGCTTTTATAATTAACATAAAAAATATATTTATCCAACAATACAAAGTTAACAAACAATTATAGTTTGACGCTTTAGGTATTAAAATTATATATTTTTTCAAAAGAAAAAAAAATACTTTATTAAAAATTATATAAATAAAAACATAAAACGAACGAAGTAATACATAATTGTTTGTATATATATTTTATATACTCAATCCGTCTCCACTCAAATTATTATTTTTTACTATTTTATTCAAAAATATTTATTTTCGATTTTAGTAAACCTAATTATATACTAATATTTAATTTTTTTAATTTTTATTTAAATTATAAATACACTATTACACATATAATTAATTTATATATAGAAAAAAAAAAGTCAACTTTTTACACACTTTCGCTAAGGGTGTGTTTGATTGGGAATTTGGATTTTAAATTGTAATTTGAAATGTAAAAATTTTGAACTGGAATAGTGGTATGATGTGATATAAATAGGTGTTGATATGATGTTTTGAATATAAAATTAATTTTGATGTTTTTGAAAAAAAAAATTGATGAATAGTAATTTTTGAAAAAAATTCATAAATCAACGAATTACCCTAAGTAAAAATACTTTGAAGTGAGACGGGGGAGACCATATACTTCCTCCGTCCCATAACAAAGTATCCATTTTTTTTATTTTAGTCTGTCTCATAACAAAGTATTCATTTTTTTTTTTTTTAGTAACGGTACTATTTACTTAACCTTATAAATACCCTTACAACTTACAATATATTACACAATTGTCATTACTTTTATATCACACATATTAATAAGATTATTTTAGTCATTTATATTTTATTCCTACTGAATCCTAATATAATACTAATATTTCTAAAACTACGTGCAAAAAGCAAATGGATATCTAGTTATGAGACGGAGGGAATATTTTATTTAACTTACATTTAATTAATAGTATTGCGTAAAATCATGACTTCAATAAACAACTCTTATCCAATGCCTATATATATGTTTATCAAGAACACCCTTGCACGTCTTGGGACATGTTACAATGTGCCACTACAAAAATCCACAAATTAAATTAAATTTTTGGACATTATATCTTTTATATAAATATAAATATAAATATAAATGCTACCGACATGAACGTATCCGTCAAATGGTTGTTAAATTTCATAAAATAATAAATGCACGGACTATATATGATTGCAAAATTTGACTATGTATTAATCCTCATTCATATATATATATATAATTCAAGAAAATTTCTCATGTGGTCGATGTAACCATTATACGCGCCGTTTCAAAACTATAGTCTTAATTGGATTGGGCACGAGATTTAAGAAATATTGATATTATATTAGTAGTTGCTAAAAAGTATAGATAAAAGACTTTTTTGCCTTGTGAATATATTAGTATAAAAAGTAGTTACAATTGTGTAATAAAAATGAAAAAGTATGAGTAGTTTTATGGCAATATGATTATCTATATAAATAAGACTATTGTTTTAGGATGGACAAAAATGGTAAATAAGACCATTGTATTAAAATGGAGGGATTAATTCTTAAACTCTTTTTACGGGGCCACGACACATTTATCTAATTAAATTACAATTCAACTAATCCAATTTTTTAATTAACTTAATTAGGGGCTGTTTGAATTGAATCGGATTTTAAATATATATATATATTACTATTCAGCATGTATGGTCACAGAAGTTTTTTTTTTTGGCAAATAAAAACCAAACAAACTCTTAATCACATCGATATATATTTATATCACATCAAACGTCTATTTCAATTCAAAATTTTACTATTCAAAATCAAAATCAAAATTTTATGAGTAAATATCCCAAATTTGTGATTTGTTTTAGATCATTTTAAAATTAGTATAAATAATATGATTTGTATACTTGAAGTTTGGCTTTAAATTTTGATTTAAATATAATTATTATTTAAGAAAACAATGCTCCATTTTAATAGAACAATGTGAATTGTATAGTAAAAAATTGAAACTAGTAAAATCTAAGGAATTAATAAACAAAGCCCATTGTTTATGTATTGCTCATGGATTTTTAAAAATTTTAGGCACTAATTTTATTTAAAATTGTTGTTATTATTATTAAGTTTTTATTTAAAACATTATATTCAATGCTTTTAATTTCACCAAAAAAAAATTTAAAAATCAAGTAAGCAAAACCCTAATTTTCAATTTAGGATCAATCTAAAGCACAAGCAAGAAAATTAAATAAACAAGCAAGTACTTCTTCACAACAAGAAATTTTGGTTCAAGAATTTTGCCACATTTTGGCAAAAGTACATTAATTAATCAATTAGTCACTTGAACACTTTTTTTTTTTATATTAAAAAAAAAAAAAAAACTACAAAATTCGAATCGGAGGCCTCTAGTTAGAATTCAATACTCAATCTAGAAAATTATAATTTAAAATTAAATTAAACCTCACTGACGGCCGCCGCCGATCAAATCAGCTGCCGGAAATCAGGTCCGATGTGCTGGTGGATCAAATAGTCGTCGCCGCCGCCGTTGGCGGCCATGTCGAACATCATATTCTGGTGGTGGTGGTGGTGGTGGTGGAGGAACTGCTGCTGCTGTTGCTGTGCCCGGAGCATCTCCTTCTGCCGCCGCAGCTCCAGAACTTTCCGGTGGGAGTTCGAGTGCTTCGTCAGCACAAACGTCGGGCTCGCTGCCGGCCGATACTCCGGCACCAGTCGCCCTGACTTGTACCGAACTCCGCAAGCATTGCAAAGCGTCTTCGGCCCCATCGGACCCGTCCTCCACTGCGGCGTCTTGTCGGTGGCGCAGTGGAGGCACTTTCGCCCCTCGCCGGAACCCGAATTCTCCGGCGCCGCCGCCTCCTTCTTCGTCTTCTGTACCGCCGCCTTCACCGTCTTGCACTTCCCCGCCGCCGCAGCGTCGGAGTCCCCGGACGACGACGAAATGGCGGCAGCGCCGGTGGAAGAAGGGTTCGGCGACACCGCCAGAAGCCGGGAAGTCCAGTTTCCCGGAGCGGCGCGTGACCGCTTGCTCCGGGCCTTCGCCGGCACCGGCAGCTCCGAATTGAACATCGGTGGGCCCTGCCGGGCGGGCTCGGGCTGGAATTGATACAAATGGTGAGAGCCCGAACCCGAACCCGAAATTTCGTGGGTTCGAGCCGCCTTCATTCCTTGTATCAGCTGCAGCTTCTGCAAATCTTCGCTTGAAAACGATTCTTCGACGAAATTCGACAACCATTCCAGCTCAGCTAAATCATCGTACTGATCAAAAAAAACAAGTTCGTATAATTTCAAATTTTCAAGAATCAAAAACAGATTAAACCAAACAAACAAGCAATCCTCAAGAAATCGCACGGACAAAATAAAAGGAAGCCATTAAAATGACATACAGTAACGTACTCAGCTGAGAAAAAAAAAAAAAAGGACGAAATTAATCAATTACTTACCGGAACGGCAAGGTCGTTAGAGAATTGGGCGTCGCCGGCGACTCCGCGGGGGCCACCGCCATTGTCGGCGGCGTGAAAATTGTCGAGCGCCGCCGAGGAGGTGGAGGAGTCAGTGGACAGCCCGGTCATGGCGGCTTCAATTCCGGCGGCGGCCGTTCCTCCGCCGGCGGCGTCGTCGGCGGGGAAGTCGAGGAGGTCGTCCACGTCGATGAAATTGTCACCATCGGAAAGTCGCTTTTCCGGTTCGAAGTAAGTGGCCGCCTCGATAAACTCCGGCGTCTCCATAGATAGATAAGCGCGCCCAAAAATGGGATAAGAAAAAAGTTAGTTAATTAGGAGAAACGATGGTTGTGTCTTGTTTAGAGCGAGAGAGAAAGTAGAGTGAGAGAAGTGAGGGGAGGGGTTTATTTCCGATTGAGGGGGTGGGGTGGGGGTGGCGAGGGGGCAAAAGTGGAGCTAAAATTCTGGAAATGGAGGAGAAATTATGGCTGAGGATGGAGATGGGGCACTTTCAAGAACCGGCAAATTATAGTAATAGCTAGTGGGTTTTAATAGAATACAAATTTTAACTAATCATTTTCTGGAGTTTTCAATTTTTAAAATTTTTGAAAACAATCTAAAATTAAATATTCAATCAAAACAAAATACTACATCCAGCCGCCTCTACCAACATTAATTACACCTTCCATCCAACTTAAAGAGTATACATATTTTTATTTTAAAAAGTTGAATTATAAAGTAATTATTTAATTAAATATTCTATTTTTTTTACAAATATCTTTATTTTACATCATATCATTATTTTTCACAAATATCCTTATTTTTACACTACTTTTACCTACAACTATAATGAAAATACTATTATTTTTTAAACTCAGCGTCAAAAGTAAATATATACTTATTGCTTGGACGAAGGGAATATTATATCAAAATATAGTACAAATTAAGAAAAAATTATAAAAATATTTTCATTAATGTCTTATAATAATAACAGAAAGACATATGTATGAAAAATTATACAAATATAAGAATAATTTTAATATTAAGTACAATAAATCAAAATGTAAAATGACCTTAGAGGAAGATGGATGGAGTACTATATAGTCCCCTCCCATGAAATTATACTACTTGTGTTTTGCATAAATTGTTCATTTTGTATATTTCAATTCATTTTATATAATTTTTCTTTAAAAAAAAATTATAATTATATATTTTAGTCACATTTTTTATTTTATAATTTTTTATTTTTTTTAATATTAATTCAATTATTCATTTATCTTAATTTCAATATATAATTATTTTTATTTTATAATAATTATATTTACTAATATATTTTAAAATTATTAACTAATTATAATTTACTTAAATTTCTATATTCATATTAATGTGGACAATTCTTTCGGAAGCAAAAAGGTACTATAAATTTGGTTAAAGACGAAAACTAAAAAGTAATAATATCTTAATATTAAAATGATATAGGTAACAGGTAAAGTGGATTATTATTAAAATTTTACTAAATAATTAATAAAAAAATAGAATAAATAGAAAATTAGTGTTTAAATAATAATAAAATTGTAAGTAAATAAATTATTTATTATAAGTAAAGTTTGTATGCCAAAATTCTAGTGACATAATTTTAAGGAGGAGAATAAGTAATATTTTGTCTGTCTCGTAAGAAGGATACTATTTTTTATTTTTATCTATACTAAAATAATGGTACAATTTTATAATTTAGTAACCGTATTACATATCTAACATAATAAATACTTTTATAATTTATAATATATTATACAAATGTCATCACTTTTATAACACAGTACTAAGGATATTTTTGTTTTTTTTACTACAAACTAATATAATACTGATATTCAAAAATTTAAGTACAAAAAGCAAACGGTGCTCTTCTTTCGGGACGAATAGAGTATAATACTTTCTAAAAAAATATATATTACTCCATTATCTAGTTGGTAAATATAAATTTTGTCGTTTTATTATTCAAACAAAAGTATTGATATATATTACAAATTAATACCCCACAATATATATATATATATATATATTTACTTACATTAATATTTTTATGATAATTTTATTACATCATAAGGGGAAAAAATTAGGTTCAAAATTATCATTTAGTATTATTAAAATATAGTAATATTTATTAAAGTTAGTAGAAAATAAATACTACTCCCTTCGTCCCACATATTTTCGGCTTATTGTTGTAGATACGGTAATTTAGGTAAAATATAATTAGTAGATAATTAAGAAGTGTATTAGTGAAAATAATTATTATTTAGTAAAAATAATTATAGATTAAGATTAAGATTAAGATTAAGATAACTAAATAATTTAATTAAAATTAAAAAAATTATAAAATTTAAAATTTAAAATGTGATTAAAATGTATAATTATATTTCCAAAAATAAAAAGGACAAGTTGTGTGGAACGGGCAAAAATAGAAAATAAGGACATATTATGTGAGACATAGGGATTATATTTATAAAATGGACGAATGGGTATTAACTAATTGTGTCTTTCCGTATAAAGTGTTATTTTTAAACATAATAATAATAATAATAATAATAATAATAAAAATAAAACTATCTAATACTCCCTCTGTCCCAGAAGAAATGTCTTGTTGGGAGTTGGAATAATAGTATTTAATTGAAAGTTGGTATAAAGTAGAATGTAAAAGACTATAATGCCCTTACTTTTTGAAAGATTTTAAAAAATAGATTAGAGTAATAATTTAGATAGTTTGAAAAAATAAGAATAATTTTGTTATAAAGTGCGGACCACAGTTACTAAATAAGGAAACAAAACAATTTGTTTTGGAATGGACGAAAATGAAAAAATAAGACTAACTCTTTTGGGAGAAAAGGGAAGTATGTGTGTGGTTATGAGTTTTTTTTAGTTTTTTATATGAAATATTTGATGTAATATGTGTGAAAGTATATAGAATACAAGAATTTTAGAATTTTGTTTCAGTATTTTTTATTATGCACTATTTATATTTAATAAAATAAATATATTGTTTTATCTTAAAATATATTATGTCAAAATCATCATTTAAATTAAATATCAAAATTAATCTAAGAAAAAAAACAAAAATAGGTTTTGGTCTTGATTTTTTTTAAAAAAATTAAATAGTTATTTTAAACGTCTTGTTCTTTTATATACTAAAATACTATTCAATGAAAAACGATAAATAATGCATAGTAGAAAAAAATTAAAAATAAAATGAATGTGTAATAACGAGTAACAAACATATTTTGCCAAAATTATTAATAATTTTTATTTTGAAACTCAGCATAAATTTTTTATGTATTTAAAAAAATTGCATTACACTTCCTTAGCTTTAAAAATATGATATGAAACTTTTTTTTATATTTTTTGTATAATGAGAAATTGATTTCTCGTCAATATTTTTTTGCATGGCGAGAGTTTTATACAAAATTTTTGAAAGTATAAATGAACACTATGCAATTTTTTAAAGTTAACGAAAACATTGAATTTCCAAACCACAACAATATATGAGCAATTTTGTCATATATTTAAATAATTATGAAACATTAATTTTCAATTCTTCTACAAAATTTAGTCGTGATTTTAAATTGAAATCATAATTATTTATCTCATATATTTTTCAATTAAAATATAGTATTCCCTCCGTTCCAAACAAGGTGCAACATTTACTTTTTGGCACGGATTTTTAGGTGGGTAGTATTAAGTAGGATAATTTAGAAATTAGGTGATGTGATGGAAAGAGAAATATATATTTTATTATTTTATTTGAATAATGTGAGGGGATAAAGTGTTGGATAGATATTATGTATAATTAATTATTTCCTATTTTGGAAATGTTGCATGGTGTTTGGGACATAACAAAAATGAAATGTGGCGGGGTGTCTGAGGTATTTTATCGGACAAAATATCCTATCAAAATATTATTTAAATAAAAATTTAAATTAATTTAGAATTTGAAATTAAATTCAAACTACGACACAAATCTGAATTATATGAACAACTATGGTTGTACTGGAATTTAAAAAAAAAAAAAAAATCATTTTTTCCTCGATTGTAATTTAAAGTGATTCATTCTACTATCTAAATGTAAGTAACTCTTCCACATGTTTTCTTTTTAATTTATTTATATTAAATAAATTTTATATATTTTTAATGTTATAATTATTTATAATTGTATATTATCACTACTTATACATTCATTTTATCAAATAAATTTCTCGCATCGTTAACTTATGCATATATTTTCCAAAATACTACTCTCTCCATGTTAGATAATATGGGCCAGTAAATTACATTAAATACGAGAATTTACGTAAAATATAATTAGTAAATAATTAAGAAGTATATTAGTTAAAATAATTATTATATAATAAAAATAACTATATATTAAGATTAAAATAACTAAATAGTTTAATTAAGATTAAAAAAAAATTAAAATTTAAAATATGATTAAAGTGTATAATCAATTTTCCAAAAAAATAAAATGACAAATTATATGAGATGAACGAAAATAAAAAATAGGAATAAATATATGTGGGACGGAAGGAGTATCCGTCCCTTAAATAAGTATCCATTTTATTTTTGCACGTAGTTTAAGGTATATTAGTATTATATTGATATATATTAAAAATAATATAGAAATGACAAAAGTAACCTTATTATTATAATATGATATAAAAATAATGACATTTGTGTAATATATTATAAGTTGTAGAAGTATTTGTAATGTTAAATAGATAGTACAACTACTAAAAAATGAGACAAATTAAAATAAAAAAATAAATAATTTATTATGAACGCACGAGAGTATTATATTAATTGAAATCCATACCATTAAAACGAGCATAAATTTTGCGAAGGGGTAGGATTAGAGATGCGAAACCTATAATTATTACATGACATATGAAATTACGAAACTACCCTCAAGAGTGACTTTGCCGGTGGGTGGACCACACGTGATGTTCAATGTTCATGTTGGGGGAATGGTCTTTTGCTTATCAACTGTGTCGTCGTTTCGTCCCATCCTATGCGGTTGGTGCATTGCACCCACGCCCCCTATTTATTTTTTTTTATTTTTTATTTTTTAATAATATATATATAAAAGAAATCTCTTTTTAGATAAAATAAATTAAAATAGTTACACTGTATCATTTTTAAATAGGCTTTACATATTGCATAATACTACTAGATATGGTCGTAAAGAATAAAAATAATTACACACATAGTTATAAATTATATTCCCTCCGTCCCACGTTGAATGTCTAGGTCACTGTAGATACGAGAATTTAGGATAAATATAATTAGTAAATAATTAAGAATGTATTAGTAAAAATAATTATTTTATAATATAACTAATTATAAATTAAGGTTAAAATAACTAATTAGTTTAATTAAAATTAAAAAAAATTAAAAATTTTAAA